ACTGATGTTTTTTCAGGTTTTATTTAAGGTCTCTGTTGAATGTGTCTGCAACATGGATAAGTACAAGCAATGTCTGCAGGGTATGGTCATATGTGTGGCACATTAAAAAAAAAAAAAACTATTGTAGCTGCCATCTTGACTTTTCTGACCATACCCTGCGGTCGCCCCTGATAAACACCATCGTTCTTCTTACGTGTAGTAGCTGGGAGTTTGTATGCTCGTCTTTTAATACACAGCTAGTTTGATAGACTCCCAAATTCTGTCCTAAGAGAAGTTGCCTTCTGAATAAATTATGCTAAGTGTATGCATTATCTTCACGTAATCAACTTGCATCCGTTCCTATTTTGGATGATTCTACATCTGCTGAGCCCAGGAGAAGTGAGATCTTGGTAACGATTCCTTTTGTCCGCTCCATCCGTTTTCAAGGCTGTCTTGGGGGCTAGAAATCTGCCTTTTTCTTTTTATGTCTCGGACATTGTTCAGTCCGTAGCTCTTTCTAGAAACACTGCATAACCATCATGCACAGCTCCCAGGAACTTATTTCAAGCTTTAATTCAGAGGAAGCTTGAGCCTGCTGGGAATTGCGGACAATTTGTCCAACATTTCTGGAAGTCACGGGCAAAGTGAGCAAATATGAGAAAGTTGACGAAATGAGTTTTCTCAGGGCTCTGAGTTCACAGCCCACTGGGCCTCCTGCTTCTCTGCCCTCTTCCTCCAACCTGGCACCTCTCGTCAGGCTGATGCATCTCTCAGTGCCTGGTCTCCAAGCTGGAGAACCAGCCTCTCCCACTGCCAGACCCAGAACGGCTTGGCAGATGGACCCGGGGTCTGGTGGGAAGGGGCAGTCTAAAGTGGCCAACAGGTACAGGGTGGATCTCACTTCTGAGGGGGCACCTGAGCACACCACTGACAGAATTGTCGAGGAAGGGCATCAGATGGTAAGGTTTAAGGAAGAAAATGTGGCCGCAACACCAGAACAGCTAAGAATGACTTCTCTCCATTTGGTTGGCCTCCAGACAGCATGTTCTGGGGATCAGATGCAAGGTGTGGCAGAAGAAGAGGTTGCTGGAGCATGTTGATGGCATGGTTAGATGGAAGGAAGGAAATCTGCCCGATATAAATAATCACAGGGACTGAGCATTCAGCCTCTGGGAACCATGGGGGTTTTAGTCTAGTGCATTTGGAGGCCGGAGGGATGATAAAAGTTGGTCTGGGGTTGTGGAGAGGAGATTTAAGGATAGTGAATGGAGTAGCTGATGATCATTCAGTGGCTGATGAGTTTGCAAGAATAAAAGCAGGACTCTGAAGGACAGAGGTCAGATCCTGATTAGAGTAATAGCTCTTGCTTTCCACACGTTATTCACTGAGGAGCAGACCCTACCTCTATCTCCAACCCCCGTCAAACTGCCGTGCCTTGGTGGAACATTCTCTGTGAGATTGCCCACTGTCAAAGCTTTCTTCTCCTTCCCTGCCAGGAGATGTTGGCAATAATGAAATCCATCTATGACATGATGGGCCGCTATACCTACCCGAGCCTGCGGGAAGATGCTCCTATCGAGCACGTGGAAAAGTTCTTCCAGGTAAAATGAAGAAATGGATTCTGCCCGTCGTCAGCAACTGGGGATGAAGACAAGCCACCGTGAAGTCACGTGTGCCATCACATCATGGCGCAAATGACATGGATTATGCCATCATCGTGCAGCTTATAGAATTGGCATCATTTGTGTGATGACTTCAGGATGCCCATGAGGTCGCTTGCCTCCTCTTGCTGCCGTGCAGTCTTCAGCCAGTGTCTGCAATGACTGCATGACTCAATGCGCAGATGCTGAGAGTAGCAAGTGGGGTCCACAAGGAAGTGTCAGAGTATTAAAAAGGCATCTAAGGCCAGTCCAAAAAAGGGTTACCTTGTTTGTTCTCCATTTTCTTCCAGTGGCTCATTGGGGCAGTTTTTCTCAACCTGGACGCTTCATTTCCCAGAATTCCCAGGCCCAGCCAATGCAGAGGATTCTGGGAATTGGAATCGGCACAGCTGGGGGGCACCCAAATTGCACTGAGGTTGCATCAATGTTGCCTGAGCCCTCTCTGAGTTGTGCTTACAAAACCCACTCCATAAAACTGGCCTATTCCCTGTTTTTCTTGAGGGGGGCATAGAAGGGGGCAATTATTGACACCGGGTTGTACATGGATTGGAAAGCTACCCTTTGAGTGCAGGAACGTAGCAGCCGAGAGCAACTGATGCTCTAGGGCAGTGTTGTCCAAACTTGGCCACTTTAAGATGAGTGGACTTCAACTCCCA